GAAAGGCAAATTAGATAAACTGGCCTGTAAATTTCTACGATCCGGCGCCAAAGCCATAGAAATACTTAGAACAAACGAGTGGGACGCTTGGGCTGTTTTTATTCTCATGTTTTGTGGGAATGCGCGGCCTCTGATGGATACTGCAGATGCAGCCGAGTTGCTCTTGAGTTCTGGCCCTCGTCATCATCTTCTGTTCTTATTTTGTAGCACCTCCAATGTTATCCGCATCAGGAAATTGCGTTTTACTTGTATTTGAGAGCGCAATTAAAGGACTTGGCAAAGTGCCAAGGAGCCGCACGCGACACGCGCGCTTACGACGGATGTTATGAAGGACGGGAATCTGCGCCGCAAAAAGGTGTAAGGCGGAGCATGGAGGAATTAGCGTGTTTCACGGTCCTGTATCTCCATTCCTGCGCATGTTTGAACGGGGCGCTATGCTTCGACAGCTGGGGGGCTGCTAGTCACATACACCCTCAATGTGTGTGAGCGTACTATGTGTCTTTAAATGCTAAACTCGCAAAATGGCGAGAGATTCAGTAGCTGGAGCCACACTAACTTGTACAAAGGAGGACACCTTCGAATTGCTTGAGTGCGGGGACGGTCTTTAATTCGTGGCGATGGAGATAAAGCAACAGGAAAGGGCTACACTATCCGGTTCTGGTCCGTACCAGGAAAACGCTGACGTCTCTTCAATCTATGTTATCCGAATAATACCTCTAATAGTACAGGAACACTATCTTGAACATCCGCTGTTGCCCCAAGTCAATTTTTTCGAAAGATCATACCAGATGGGCCACCTTTTTCCTGCATTATGTGTTTGGGTTAAAGTACCGTAAGTGAAAAAAACAGAAAATTTTGGCAATTTCGCAGAGAGCATCCACATGTGTTCATATCTGAGTGGAACAAGGAGAGTAGCTGTACGAACGGAAAGGGTCCAGACAAACGAGAGGCAGGATCGAGGCAGGGTCGGTATAAGAGAGGAGAGTGGGCAAGGCAATACGCAGATGCCTCCGAGCTCAAACGATCTATCGGTTACTAGTGAGGGTATCACCAAAAAACATACTTCGACTTCGAGTATTTTTGCTCTATCTCTTCTTCTTAAAGGCAGCGCCCGCGTTCATTTGATGTTCCTACGCCCTCCTTAGATATCGTAGCTTTGTCGACAAGGGTGGAGGATGTACTAATTTCGCAGCTCAAAAATACGAGAGGATGGCGCCACCCGCTTGTGAAGAGGATGCCGCCCGCCCACCTGGCTGCCATAACTGCTTTGGCTTAGCCTTTAAAGGCTGAGCCCGCTTTCAAGAATAATGAGTTATGGAGCTCATATAATACGTGATCCAGTAGTGAGAAAAAAAGCAGAAAAAAATCATGGAAAATGCCCTATATAGAACCCTATGCTGGCCAGGTGGGCGGGGCGGCCGACTCTTCACTAGCGAACGGCGCTATCCTCTCGCCTTTTTGAGATGCAAAACTAGTACATACTGCATCCTCATAGGGAGGGCTATGATATCCAGAGAGGGCGCGGGAACATCAAATGAACGTGGGCGCTGCTTTAAGTTTACCTAGACGATGCCTAACTAGCCTTGTACTACGATTTGCAAGGAATCCGGCCCGTTAAGAAAGCGGGTTGTTCTTGTCCGCGCTCATTTATTGCCTTTTTCCTAGCATGACAACGACAATCTCCGAGTTGCTCCGAAAAAGAAGCGCTTTAAATAGTTTGGGGATGATGAAAAAGATTGCATGCCCACACCACTGAGATGAGATGACTACTGGAACTGTAGTTCTATGTTCTTATCAGTTTATGTAGTGGTCTCTAGTGGAAACATTCCCTCTCGGTAAGACTTCCAGTGCCATCCAGCGGTTCAAGAACTTTGACGGATCCATGATAGCAAGAACCGGCAATATCAAATCGCCAGATACTTGCCCAGTGTTTAGCGCCAAGCACATCGACACGAAAATAGTGGTTTCGGCCCTAAGTTTGAATGGACATAGAGTTGAGGCTGCTCTGCCGGCTCTGCGAGCGCAGAGCCAACAGTGAGGTCTGGATTCAGACTGGTGAAACTGCTCCATGGAATCATTTTTGCCGTATTTTTAGTAGACGTTGGAATCCATGCGGGACGGTAATGGGATCGACCCGCTCGCGACGTTTTCCAGTGTTGATTTGGGGGTTGGGGGGTTCTTCCTAAATCGACCAACCGTAAAAACAGATCCCTGTGGTGGAATCAAGGCGACTCGTTCCGCCCCTCCTGATAATGCCCCAACTGATCGGGACGATATCAGCTATGTAGCCAAGGGAAGGCTCAATCGAAATCTGAACTGATTGAAGAGCAGCTCAATCAAAGGTAAATAGTACCACTCTTCCATTGCATTATTTGTTTAGCTTACTAGGGCGCTGTTTGTCGACGAAGGGGGGATGGGGGCATTTTGTATCAATCATTGTTCCTCAGTTCCCAGTTTACCTGTTTCACTCTAGGCGAAACTCTTTTGTGAAGCTGGAACAAGGTAGTCAAGCCATCATTGTTAAAACCTGTCAACTCGAGGAGAGGCTGTCTAGATAGGCCGACACGTCGATGGGAATAGCAAAAGTCAACAACTGCCCCCCGACCACCCGTCACAACTGAGGGCGCTATACTAGGCCTACATGGTCATGATCGGACGAATAACCCATTTCCATTTCTATCCGATAGCTGCAAATCACGCATATACCGCGTAGCTGCTCATCTTTCTTCAAGGATCACAAGGTACCAAGTGCTCACTTTTCTAGGAGTGTGCCATGTCCTGGACGTGTGTGGAGTAGCAATAAATTGCAATAAACTTTTGCCAGTTGGCTCAGGCCTCACCAGTGGTCTGTACCAGCTGGTGTACGAGTCTAAGTTTTCATTCTCCCAGACGGATCTAGGGCCATTCAACTAATGGTAAGCTCTGAAAGATGGAAAGCTCCATTGTGAAATTGATACAATTTTGAGGTACCGCTTCATGCTTTCTCAATCGGTTTCTTCATGCAGAAAAGGCAGATTTCGAGACAAGCTTCAAAGCTCCTCCCCTCACCTCCCGGGAATGAAAAACAAAAGGCATATTAGTTTGACTTGGCCAAAAAAGCAGAGAAAATAGCGCGAGCAAAAAAATATGGGAGAAATCACTTCCGAATAAGGTCCTACTGCTTACTGGCCAGAAGCAAAGAAACGATGGATGAGAATTTCGGGCTAGAGACGGAACAAGAGCAGCGCGAGAGAACGCAGACGAGCAAGATGACAGATACGACATCTATCGAATGTGAGTCACTGTGGTGGGCAACCACCTCAGTGCGCCGTACTCACGGTTTTTCTGCGAGCGTAAACCTGCTATGCACGTTACATACTATTCCTCGACAATGCGCTTCATAAGTGACTGAGGAACGTGCCCTTCTGAATCACGCCGTCGAACATTTTCATGGCACAAAAAGTAATATCAATTTTCATGCACTTTGGCGGCTGGCGTCCGAGCTCCAAGCTGGCGTAGCCGACCCGTGAAATTATGGAAAAAAATTCGTCTATGGTTCTGGAATTTTTGTGATCGTAGGGTTTTTCATCAGTTCATACTCTCATATCGTCACAGCTAACCTAGCATTTCTAGAGAAAGATGTCGCGTCTTCTTGCCCAATTTCGAGTGATGTTTCCGCGTTTTGCTTTTGTGAGAATTCTGTACACATATCAGATCTCAAGCGCATTCCTCGCTCTGCACAGCCGATTGATTTTGTTCGCAAAGCGATTTTCCCAGCCTTTTAGATGGAATAACATGGACTAACGACGGATCCGCACAAGTTCTTCATTCCAATTGAAACTAGACACGGAAGCGCTGCGAATGGCTCAATGGGATACCAGTGAGGCACTTGGCCCTGACACGACTGACAATGAGCAGTGGTGGTCTAATGTAAGTGATCTGGCGCCGGCGCTCAGTGACTTGAAGAACTCGTTGAAGACTAGGAGAGGTGTCGTCCTCTCCGCTCGGCTTTCACGAAACAAAAATGACCCATTCTTGGACGTATATTATGAGAAATGGATTACGTACGACAAGTGGCGACGATCTGGTAAATGGCTAGACAAGGATGAAGCTCCTCAACACTTCCCCAAACCGAAGCCTTACGGAAAGAAGTTTATGGTGGTAGTTTGGTGGATTTTAGCTGGTCTGATACATCATAGCTCCATGAGTGTGGGCGAAGCCACTTCCGCTTCAGTGTGCTGCCACGAAACTGTCTCAATGTGCAGTAAACTTCAGCTTATGAGCCCTGCTGAGTTCAGTGAGAGGGGTCGACTCGGCTTGACGATACTGCTCGGTCGCGCGTCAAAGAGCATACCTTGAACAAAACGAAAAGGACACGTTGCAAAAGTTCACCGCACCCACCATATTCACCACAACATCCCTTCACCCTACTTCCTAAAGGAAACAGCCTCTTCAGGGGAAGAATGCTTCGAAAGTCTATGTCATGGTACAGTGTGTTCGCCGCTTTTATCTCCTCAAGATCTCCTAACCTTGAATTCCCTCTGTGGAATAGATCATCTTTTTTCTCGCTGGTATAAGTGTGATGAGGATGATGATTTTTATTTCCATCAATGATGATTATGATTTCTTCAACTCAAGACTTGCGCAGTTGAACTTTGGGGTCGATAAGTACAAATGCTTCCTTCTCGACCTCATCGATGGAGGCGGAACGGGGAGCGCTTACCATTAGCCTTCTCGAAGCTCCACTTCAAAGGCACTCTTACCAAAAATTCCCCGATGAAAAAGCCATGTTCCGGACCACGTGATCCACATGGTTTGTCATTATTTTGTCTCTATGAGGTGTTTTATTTAATCAGTTTGGCTCTCATCTCATGTTTCAGTCTAGGTTACGAAAGATACTTACCCATAAGCAATTGAAAAAAGGGAGGAAATTACTGATGGACCACTTATGAAAACGATAAAATGGTCCGGAGATGCGCACAGTACGGTGGTCCACAATGTGTTAACTGACCGATAACGTTCATTCCATCTGTCCAAACGAGCGCTCTTGTCGCCTGTTCCTCGGTAACATTTGATTCGATCAGTTTGTAGATGGTCTGCTGTTGTTGGAACATTGATCGAATCAGATTTTCCGTGAAAATGTTCCTGCAAACCAACTCTTTATTATATAAAGGAGAATCTAAGAGCAAAGAACTTATACCTTAAGACATCCCCAATCTTGTCGACGATTCTTCCTTGTGAAGGCAACGCCTGTTCAGCTTGTAATCCTTCCTTGATAGTGGGATCGCCAGGATGAATCACAGTCGCAATAACGATGCCCAACTGCAAAGGGAACTCTCGTTGTGTTTTCAAATTGCATTTAGATGAAGAAAATGCCTACAAGCACTGCGTGTAGAGTAGCTCCCCCATAGTAAATGAACGACCTGGTGCTTAGTTTTCCAGCGGTTCGACCATCAAGCATTGATACTCCTAAAATGTTGTATTGTATTTTA